GGAATGCATAGTATGTGCATGCTGGTACAGTGATAAAGGAGAAAGAGTGGGTACCTCTGAGCTACAAGCAGACAGGGCTATATCACAGAACTCCTGCAATAACATGTGTTTTTTCTTTTTTAAATAATTGTCTGTACTGGGAAAGATTAAGTGTCTAGTGATGTCCAAGGTCAAAATTAACTTATTTCTGACTTCACTAAATATACATAATTCATTAAACAGATCCATTATGCTTCATGCTTACCAGTTTTGACTGGTGATTGTGGAGAAAATCTATTCTGGCTTTAGGTCTTCTAACACCAGAGTTGCTCAAATTATTTGGATTACATCCATTATTCTGAAGCCTGTACAGAGATAGCAAAAGAAGACCACATGAGACAAAAGACCCATCAATAATTCTTGCAAAAATGATTTTTCTAACATTTTCTAGTAAGTAAAGAAACAGATTGCAAGGCAAGGTCTGCAGTCTTAAGTCAGCAGAAGTTTTCTGGCAGTTTTCCCCCCAAAAACCAGAGGAGTTGGCCTTTTATAAATATATTTCAATTGTCCACTATACTGGACTCGCCTTCCAAGAACTTTTTTTCTTAAAAGGATGTTATCAGTAGTTTTTATTTTTTGAAGAAGTTTTAAAAAGAAACAACAGCAAGTTCTTACTTACTCAAGTTTCCTGCATGCAGTCAAAATCTATTCATCTACCCATACTGATTATTGTACCATGCTCTTCTCCGAGCTGAATGCCTACATTCAGGGCTCTTTGTCTTTTCTCTTCTACTTTTGCTAAGACTAGTAACAACTAAGGCACCAGTATTGTTCTCAAATTGGCTGGGACAATGAGCAAACAGGGAGACTGTAAGGGTATAACTAAAGAATACAGATCTTCCAAAGTAGAAGAGAATCCCCCTCCCTACCACTGGGCAGAGAAAAAGAATAAACTGGGACTGGGACAAGAGATGGGATTTTAAAAATTAAAATATATTTTTAAATAAACCAAAGTCAAGTTCTGTTTAATGTTATTAATATTTACACTGCAGTGGCTCTCAGAAGCTCCAGCCAAGATGTAGCTGTACAGTGGTGGGCACTGTACAGATAAATAGTTGGTGACAATTCTTGTTCATGGAAGATTACAGACAACTTAAAAAGAAAGTGTGACTACTTATTCTACAGAGATGGTGATCTTTTCCTATGCTATAGATGATGACAAATCAACAGTATCTTTTTAGCTTGGCAGAAGGCAAGGCAGGGAGGCACCTAAGACTAACCGGTTCAGAGAAACAAGCATTCAGAGATAGCAACCTACGTTGTCAGATGCTTCAGACTAACACAGCTAACAACTTCTAGCTTGTGGAACTCAAACACTAAATTCAGAAGCTGGTATGGCCATGGGAAGTAGTGACATTATTACATGGATTAAAATCAGTTTATTCTCCAAGAACACCACCTTTCTGTATGCATGACACTTATGTCTCTAAAGAACAAAGTAGGAAGCCTGAATGTGATATGAACTGCTATGCTAAGCATACTTCATTTGGATTTCTTATCTTGTTACTTCTGAAGTACAAGCAGCTGAGCCACACTATTCCAGTACTCTTAAATCAGTTAAAGCTATGCCTTGAACAGATAAATTAAATGCAATGGGGCTATCCTGGGGCCTCACAACATCAGCCTGCCCACCTGTCCAGGGCAGTTTGCCCACCTGGCTCACTTGCCACACCTTTGTTGCAACTTAAAAATAAAAAGAGTTGTTTCTACATGGGAGGCTACCCATTTACTGCCCTGATGCCAAGGGTGTAATACACAGCTCCAACCTTCCCTTTATTGTATCCCTTGCCTCACAGATGGCATCCAAAACCACTTAGAAGTCCCCTGGCCCAAACCTGGCCTCAGGTGTCCTTAGACATGCCTGGGCCACGTGCTCCTTCTTTGGGCTACTTGCCTCTCATAAGGCTTCTTGCCCCTCACACTCTGCCCCCTCACTGGGGCTTCTGGGCCTTCTGCCCCTTGGGCATCAGGTGTTTGTCAACCTCCCTGGACTCCAAACTCGGCCTACGGCCCACTCAGGCCTCAGGCGTCTGTCAACATACCTGGAACTCACTCCTGGCCTCCCATTAGGCCTCACTCACATCCAGGTGTTGGGCCTTGGCCCCTCCTGGCCCCTGTGCTGTTGCCCGAGCCTGGTGCTTTCCTGTCAGGGTATGCTCCCATAGCCTTTCCCCTCCACAGGGTCACCCACAAGGCAGTGGGGGCGGAAGCTTTCCAGTACCGCATACTTCCTTTCACTGGGGAGGCACAGGTGTGGCATTTCCTGGAGACTGTCCTGCCACAGGCAGCCCCATCACCCCATCCAACCCCAGCAGGTTGTAGTTTTAGGTCATGCCCCAGGACCAGAAACCTCCTCCGTCCCCATAGTTCCTACCCTGACCTCCAGGATGTTCTAGAAGCAGACTCCTTCAGCTGGACAAATGTTACCCCACTGGCTTCTCAGCTGCAACTAGCAGCACTACTCTTTGAGTCTGGTCTTATACCGAGACTGCCTAGCCCTCCTCCAAATCAGGCTACCTCCTGGCTGTCTTGTGACCACTTGATTGGCTCTGCAGTCACCTGCCAGCTGCTCTGCAGCCTGCTCAAGCCCTTAAAGCAGCAGGCACCCAAGCGTGTTCTGCCACATTAACAATGTGTGTTAAATGGCTTATGCTAGTGGTGCTCAACATTTTGGTCCTGTGGGCTAGGCCAGTAGTCTGCAGCCAGTTCAGCTCTCTTGCAGTCAGCACCTGGACTGGGCCTCCTGGGGCCAGTCTGTGGTCCAGATATGTCACTGCTCCCCTGGTGCCATATTTCCAGCCCCCTGGATCAGATGAAATGACTCTGCAGGCCAGGTCTAGCCCACAGGCCAAGGGTTGGGCACCCCTGGCTTATGCCAAATGAACAATGTAAAAGGCTGTGTGGATTACGCAATGGCATCTTAAGTGTTTTATACAGTACTTATATCACAGTATATCAAGCTGCTTCTCTCCGAGCAACCATGTTAGTCTGAAATCAGGCAGAAGGCAGGGCTGAGCTTACGAATCTCTGGATGCATTCAGTCTACAAGGTGTACCTCTCCCCTACCTTATGTACTTATGTCAGTGAAATTTGGCTAATGGGTGTTATTTTTATATTTTATACAATGATTAATTCAGAGTAAGATATATAGGTTTCCCTTATATTGAAGGCACAGGTCTGAATATGGGAAATTGGCTTTGCTGATGGAAATGGGGGTGAACTTATGTTCTATCAGATTTAAAGTTACAATTTAATAATAGTTTGTTAATACAGATATTAGATATTTAAATCAGCAGGGATCTGGGTTTTCCGTTTCCCATAGAAAAATGGAGAAAACCACAGTTTTCCTCCTTTTGCAAAGAGCTCTGCTGGTGGTAGAGCTCCAGCCTGCACGAGTTGATTACAAAAGGGATGGGAAACCAGGCAACCCTGCCCAGAGGGAGAGGGGGAAGGGCAGAGCCTAAGGTTTTTAGTCCCAAGGCTTACCTCAGGCTCACTTTCCTTCTGGAGCCTGAGGTAAGCCTTGGTACGGTTAGGTAAGTGGCGTTTGCAGGGAGCTGGGGGGGAACTGGCTGGGGGCTGAGCGAGTGAGGAGGTGTTGGTGAAAGACATGGAGTGTCCGCCCGGCAGCACGCAGACTGCGAGCAGCGCTATTGGCCCAACTGGGCTCATCATCTCCACATGCAGCTTCCCTTAAGGGCAGATAGTGCCGCTCTGGTTCCACATGCCACCACCCACCACTACTGCAGGGAGCTGGCTGGGGGCCAGGGAGCAGGGAGGTGTTGAGGGAAGACGTGGAGTAGCCGCCCCAGCGGCATGTGGAACTGGAGTGGAGCTATCAAGCCCTTAGAGTAAGCCACACATGGAGGCGCCAAGCCTGTTCCTTCCAATAGCACAGCTCGCAGTCCACATGCAGCTGGCTGGGCACTCCATGTCTTTTACTCTCAGGGGGTAGGGGGGGACCTGCATCTCCAGTTCTGGCATGGGGCAGGCTGTGGGCTTGAGTTTCCACACTGCTTCCCTCCCTTGGGGCCTCCGCAGCCCCACAGGCACAGAGGAGCCACACAGGGATCTCACTGCTGCTCACCCCACAGTGCCCCAGCGATGCACCTCCTGAGCATCGGGCTGCACTGAGGGAAGCAGCATGAGGCTGTACTCCTCAAATCAGCAGCAGGCACAGGAGGCGAGTCAACAGGACAGCGGGGGGGGGTGAGGGGATCCCCATGTGGCCCTGCTGTTCCCAGACACCAGGTCATACCTGTGGGGCTGCAAAGGCCCTGCGGGGTGGCAATTGAACACGAAACAGGCGGGATTATTGGCGATGGAGTACTGAG